ATCCATTATAGTCTTATTTATATTAAGACATAGTTTCCTTTTAGAAATTATTTTTGGGCCCAGTATTTTTTCCATGCTGTACTTATTCGTCTATTTCGTTTTCGTTGCTGTTTGCATCAAAGTACACCAATTTACAGTCTGTCAAGAAACTCATGACAAAAAAGGAGGGCGCCACTATCTTTTATACGGCATCCCTATAGACTTCAACCGAAAAGTTTTGATACTTTTTATTTTATTTCATAAACCGATTTAATATTATGGTCCCATTTACTGTCATATTTTTTCAAGTACATGCTTTTATTGCGTAACCCTTGACCCTTGTAAATCCCAGCAACAATAATTAGTTAAATTCACATACTTAATAATAGAGATAATTTGACTGTGTATCCTACAAGTAATTAGCGAAAGCAGGTTTAACACAAGACCAGCCTTGACAGACAGCAGACACCCAAGGTTCAAAAATAAAACAAAAAAATGTTGATACATAGTTATTATATTTTGGTTATTAATCTGAGTCAAAATAATCTTAGTCGAGGTATTCAACTCCTAAAATGTTGCCTGAAGCTCCTGCGTAATTAAATTGGTACATTTCTGACTCTTCAGATTCACTGGAACTATCATCGCTTACTGAGATGACAAGTTTGTCTATATCATTATACAGAAATCCTCCACGGGCATAATATTCATCGTCGTGGTACGACTTTCCATTGACGTCAGTGGAGTTTGGTGTTGATACGTATTTTTACAGAAAGAGTACACTATTATAAGCACACACATAAAGTCTCAATATACGGAAACGCGTAATTTTTGAGAAAAGAATAATTGAAAATCAATTATTCGTGCAATGTTTATGTCTAATCTGCTAATAAACTGGCGCCATTTTGTAATGTCATTGTCGACGTCAATAGGGATGTCGATTCTTTCCGAAAAAGGTCGATTTTTAAATCGATTCAAATCGTAAGCTGATGTAGCGATTCCCAAAAAATCGATTTCTAAAATATCGATATTTTTTTCATGTTTGCATTTATAATGTAAATATAAATCCATTTTATGAGAAAAAAATCCCCTTCATCATAAAAAAATAAGGGGACTGATTCATAAGGATTTCTGTATATATTTTGAGACTGCTACGTCTCCGGCGCTGCGGGAAGAGCAACCTCTACGCCTTAGCGTAACAAATCGCAGGCATCGGACGAGCCGGAGCGGCTGAGGCTGGTCGCCGAAGGCGACCAACAAGCCGAAGCTGCAGAGGCGAGACCAAAACCTCTACGCCTTAGCGTAACAAATCGCAGGCATCCCTCCTCGCCTCTGCAGCTTCGGCTTGTTGGTCGCCTTCGGCGACCAGCCTCAGCCGCTCCGGCTCGTCCGATGCCTACGATTTGTTACAGCAGGCGGAGGCTGCTCCCCCTACGCGCCTCCGGCTCTATAAAACCACTCTAGGGGTAGGACAGACTCGTACCAGGTGGAGTCGGGGTCAATCAATTCGGTTCTTTGACATAAGTTGAACCTAACCTATTTTATTTGTTATCTGCCCTAATAGGTACTGTTAAATAAAACAAATTTCAATCAGAGATCATTTATCATGGTATCTTTCTTGTTTTTCATAAAATGGGTTTATATTTACATTATAAATAGAAACATTAAAAAAATATAGATATTTTAGAAATCGATTTTTTGTGAACCGATACATCAGCTTACGATTTGAATCGATTTAAAAATCGACCTTTTTCGGAAAGAATCGACATCCCTATTGACGTCGACAATGACATTACAAAATGGCGCCAGTTTATTAGCAGATTAGACATAAACATTGCAAGAATAATTTATTTTCAATTATTCTTTTCTCAAAAATTACGCGTTTCCGTATATTGAGACTTTGTGTGTGTGCTTATAATAGTGTAATCTTTCTATAAAAATACGTATCAACACCAAACTCCACTGACGTCAATGGAAAGCTAAGCCATCGTCGTTGACTATGCGCCGAATTGTGCTTTCAGAAACACCTGAAACCAATATAGGCATGTAAATAAAAAAAACCTTATTCATATCTAAACAAATAATGCAAAAGGATCAAAACTATTGACTGTGTAGTATAATTCTTAAACAAATTTCATAACCTCAACTATTTGTAAACAATATAATAAAACGGATAAATTATACTTAAAAACAAATGATAGATATGAGATTACAGTTTTTTTTATTGTGTTTAACATTAAAATACATGTACGTACCAGTTATCTTTGCTGTTCGACCATAAACATCGTCTAAATCGGAAAGGAACTTTCCCGCTTGAAATTCGGCCATACACTCTTGAAACACTTTAAATATGACTTGTCTGGGATACCGCCCTATATATAATGTACTCTGTGGGTACCGCTCTTATAAAAACTGCGTTTCATTTTTGATCTGGAAAGACTAAACAGTCATAAGATAAGAAAACTTGAAATATAACAAAAAATCTTAGAGCACATCAACGTATATATAAAAAGGTACTCTGTGACATCAACTACAAAGCTACGATATGACAGCTGAGTTAGGTTACTCAGTTTGACAATAGACAATAATTTATTGTTGCCAGTGCAAGCAAAAGCAGTAGTTCCAAAAGTATTCTTTTCATAACTTTCTTGACAGACTATACCTAGGTGCACATATTAATTTGTATATTATATCGATTTTTCCTCTACTTTGATTGTTTTCTTTCGACTGTTTGACATTATTTTAGTTTTGGATACGTTCATGTGTAGACGGAGTTTTTTGCTTTCAAAGTTTTATCTTTGTAGCATTGCTTCTAAATCTGTCGCGGATTCACTAAAAAGATCATCATCTACAATCCTTAGGTGTGTTAGTTTATTATTGAGTATCCCCATATGCCTTTATTTTCCCAATTTATGTTTTTGAAAATGTCTTAAAGTACAGCTATGAATAGCTTTGGAGACAACGGGTCTCCCTGCCGCACCCCTCTACCAATTGTGAACTCTTCCCCTTGTGTTTCTAGTTTTACTCTACTTATATTTTTAGAGTAGGTGTTTTTTATGATATTTACATATGTTTTGTTTACATCTTTATTTCTTAGAGCAGTCTATATAGATGGGTGTACTATGCTGTCGAATGCTTTGGAATAGTCCACAAAAGCTATATACGAGTGTTTTTTTGGATTCTTTATATTCCTCTATTGTTCCATCGTGTGAATGTGGTCTATTGTTAAGTAGTACGGTCGGAAGCCCGCATGTTCTATTGGCTGATTCTTGTCAATATCTGGTGTTTTTCTTCTTAGGATGATTGATGAAAAATTTATATATTGATAATAATAAGCTGATAGGCCTGTAGTTGCTGATGTCGAGCGGGTTCTCTTTTTTATACAATAGTATTATTTTGATTTACTCCATCCGATTCTGAGGGCTTAGTTTGTGTCTTCGGCTGGGCTATTTTCGGGTTTTAGTCGTTTGATTTGGGTCAATATTTCTCTTTCAGTTATTGGTTCTAATGGTGTTTCTCCTATATCTTCTCCAGCTATACTACTATTATCTTTTTAATCATATTGTGTCTTATCATATGATGGTTTTTCATAAACAGAAGTATAGAAAGCAGTCTCTTCTTGACTTTAAACTATTGCTTTTGTTTACGTAACTAGGGTTGTTATTATTTATATTATTCTGTTTGTTTTTATTTGATGAAGGGTAGTGGTTGTCTTGCCGCACGGTGACTAGCCGGCTCAGGGTGCTTTGTTACGAGGTTGGTTTGAACAATGTTGTCATATTTGTTTTGATTTGGTTCTGCGTGCCGGTGGTCATTGCTAGTTTTTTGAGATTTCAGATAGTGAGGCTGTTCTGCCTCGTTCGACATAGTTACGAATATTAGGTTTTATAATTTCTTTTGAGACGCTCTTGGCAAATGGTGGTTTTGAGGTTTCTTTCGAGTTTATTTTCTTTTGGGTTTTATCTCTGGTTTTGTCAGTCTGTTTCTTCACTTCAGTTTGTCATATTTAAGAAAAGCGATATTTCCTTCCCAATATGTACATATTTTACTAGAACTCTTACGAAAAAGGTTTTACTCCAGTGTGTATTTTCATATGCTTTTGCAAACTTCTTATTGTATTACATCTAAATTCACAGATAGTATACGAAACGAATTTTTCTCCGGTGTGTATTTCTATGTCTTATCAAATCAGGTTTTCGTAAGCATTTATATTCACAGATATTACACAAAAAGGGGTTTTCTCCTGTTTGCAAACACGTAAAAATATTATGTGTTTGCAAATTACTTTTTGTATTACATCTAAATTCACAGATATTATACGAAAAGGATTTTTCACCGGTGTGTATTTTTATGTCTTATCAAATCAGTTTTTCGTAAGCATTTATATTCACAGATATTACACAAAAAGGGTTTTTCTCCGGTGTGTATTTTTAGATGATTTTGCAATTGATCTTTTCTTATACATCTAAATTCACAGATATTACACCAAAAAGGTTTTTCTCCAATGTGTATTTTCATATGCCTTTGCAAAATACTTTTTGTAACACATGTATATTCACATATATTACACGAAAAAGGTTTTTCTCCTGTATGTATTTTCATGATATGTGTTTGCAAATAACTTTTTGTAATACATCTAAATTCACAGATATGACACGAATAAGGTTTTTCTCCAGTGTGTATTTTCATATGCCTTTGCAAAATACTTTTTGTAACACATGTATATTCACATATATTACACGAAAAAGGTTTTTCTCCTGTATGTATTTTCATGATATGTGTTTGCAAATAACTTTTTGTAATAAGTCAAGTCAAGTCAGTGACGTTGCGGATGTCAGTGCTTCTAGAAGTAAGCAAAGCTTGTCGCGAAATAAAAATTAATATCTACGTCTAAAGTTGTAATATCGATGTTTTGAAACATTTTTTTCTGGACTTTAAAAACTGGTGCATATGTTAATAAATTAATCATTTGTGTGTGCTTAAGGATTGTGGTGAAAGAAAATTGAAATAAAACATCTAAAAGTGAAATATAAGAGGTACCTTTATTAATAAATTTAATGTACATCGTCTATTTACCCTCGAACTACAAAGTGTCAATTACAATATATAGTCGGCGACACCTAGTGATAATTATCTGCATCATTACATTGCAATTAACTTAAACTAACGCGATGAAGTGCAGTGCGTGCGGAAAGTTTATGGCGGCGGCAGAGGGCATTACGTGTCCTAAATGCGATAGAAAATCACACAGGGCCTGCGTTAAAGTTCCTGAAGGTGTGCAGGTCCAACCTACTTGGTTGTGTCCGGACTGTAAAATACGGACGCCCCGAAAGTCAGATCAGAATACGCCTGTGCGAGGACTTAATTCCGAGTATATTATCAAGCAAGGCGAAGAGAAACCCCAAAGCCCTGTGGCGCAAGGTTTCAAAGAGTCGGAACTAGCTCTTGAACTACGTAGATTTAGAGAACTGCGAGAAACCAGGGAAGAATTTCGATCTTTCCGACAGATGTTTGATTTGCGTAATTCCCTAAAATCGTGTGAAGAACGCCTAGATACATTAGAAAACAAATACACCCGTCTTGAAGAACAACAAACCCTAATTGAGTCCAAAAATGTCTGCGGCAAAATTCAGGATCTCGAAACGATTATTGCGGACTTAAGAGCAGATTTAAATGATCGAGACCAAGAGCTTCTGTACAATGATATCGAACTCGCAGGCATTCCAGAAGAGGGCGCAGAAAATGTTCTACACATTGTGACTGCGTGCGCTACTAAGCTGGGCGTAACCCTAGAAGAGCGCGATATAGTGAGTTCTGTGTGAGTCGGTCTTATGCGCGACGAGCAAAGTAGGCTAGCGAAGCCCCGTCCCATAGTCGTGCGGCTGGCGCGCAGGCACACGCGGGACACTCTGCTGCGGGCCGCGCGCGTGCGCCGCTCCTTAAGGCCGTATTCAGTGCTCTCCTGACGGTCAGGACTGACGTCAGTCTGCCGTAGCTATCGCCATAGAAACCATGCGTGCATTCAGAGCAGCACTGACCGCGTCCGCATACGCAATACTGACAGAGACGGTCAGTCGAGCGCGTCGGTGCTGCGTACGTCAGGTGACTGACGCGCTATGCAATGCTTCAGAGCATTTAGTGCGTTGCGGAAGCGGGACTCGAACGGACGTTAGCGTGTACAATCATGTCGAAACATAACATCGACACTGAACGTGTGATAACAGAAGTTCGAATAAGACCACCTTTGTGGGATCTATCTCACGATTTATTCAAAGATAAAGATGCCAAGCTTCAAGCATGGTTTGGAGTGTATAAAGCTCTTTTGCCCGATTTTAATGATTTGTCTGAGAATGATAAAAAAGACTTTGGTAAGTAAAAAAATGTGTTTATTAAAAATATTTTTTATTGAATATACAAGTATCTAAATAATAACAATCAAAATATAGAATCATCTTGCCACGGAATTGCGCCAACTTCAGAAACAAAGTAATTAGCAAATTTATCTCTCAAAACATCACCGGATCTGACAACCGAGATGTTGTTAGTGTTGGTATTATTTTGAAATCCTTCAATAGTTAGCGTATCCTCAAATTTATAGCCATCTCTTTCTCTAATGTAGTTGTGCAAAATACAACAGGTTTTAACAAGTTTAATAGCATTCGGCAGTGAGTGATTTATTGAGCGTTGGAATATTTTAAATTTATTGGACATTATTCCAAACGTCGATTCAATGTACCTTCTCGCCCGACTTAATCTATAATTAAATATTTTCTTTTTATGTGTCATATTGCTGCGAACATAAGGTCTTAAGACTTTATTCGATATTCCAAACGCTCCATCGCCTATTAGCACATATGGCATTGGTTCAGTGGTATTAGGTAATGGCTTAGCACTTGGTAAATTTAGTTCTCCATTATGTAATTTTGTGTACAAACTAGTATTCTTGAAAATTGTTGAATCAGAGTCTGACCCACACGAACCAACATGTATATATGTAAAACGATACTCTGAATCACACATTGCTAGTAGATTGATGGAAAAATGCTTCTTGTAATTTAAAAATAAGCTACCGCTCTTTTCGGGACAAACAATTCTCACGTGTTTGCCATCTAGGCATCCTACACAATTCGGAAAGTTGGCAACCTGCTCAAATCCTGAAGCAATTTTAAGCCAATCTTCAGGGAACCTAGGGAGCGAAAGACATTCACTGTGAAGCACATTCCAAATAGTCAGGCAAACTTCTCGAACAATGAGACAAATAGTTGATTTGCCAAGTTGATAACTGAAATGTAAGTCCGAAAACGTTTGTCCAGTTCTTAAGTACCTGGAACAAAAAACACAATTTTTTTTATTTATTATTTACAGAAAAAAGTGTACAACAAAGATGGAGAACTGCGAGAGATGCTTACATGAGATGCAAAAATTCTATGAAATCTGTGAAATCGGGATCGGAAGGCGGAAAGAGAACCAAATACGTATTTTTCAAACATTTACAGTTTCTTGACAAAAAACATGTTGCCGACACCGAAGATTCTATTGAAGAAAATGAAACAAGAGAAGATACACAACAAGATTCAAATTTAGAGTCTCCAATCAATCCACGTTCTACTGAAACAGTATCCACCAATCCAGAAACCCAACCACAGTGTTCCAGCCAAGTTAGACAAGATTCTTCAAACACAACTAAACAATCTAGCTCTACTCCTAACACAAACCCATCAAGGAAGCGTAAAAACGCAAAAACTAATGAAGACAGCTACTTCGATAAAAACATCTTGGAGTTTTTAACAAAAAACAGCGAAATTATTCAAAATGACGATATGGCATTTTTTTATTCTCTTTTACCTTTAACACGGACATTCGACAATCGTCAAAAAGTTATGTTCCGTACTGCAGTAATGAATAAAGCCCTGGAAATTTGTAACTGCCCTTCGTCTATCACTCCTCTTGCTTCACCAATGTATGCATCTACCTCTCGCCCTGAATCTTCTACTTCCAGCATGAATATAGCATCACCAGAATCTCTACCATCAGGATCTCAAGACATAGTTTTGTATTCAGTTGAAGAACCTTCGTCTCAAAATGTAGTGAGAACTAATCCAAATATCGCACATACATCACAAAATTCGGTAATCACATCTTTGTCTGCTTCCAGCTTCAATATACCATCACCAGGATCTCGAGACATAGTTTTGTATTCAGTTGAAGAACCTTCGTTTCAAAACGTAGTGACAACTAATCGTAATTTCGCTTATACGAGCACATCACAAAATTTGGAAAACCCATCATCTGATTTGTCTCAGTATATTAATTTTAAGCAATGACTGACAATCACATGATACTGATAATACTGATTGCATTCCCTAAATTACTTAACTGATTGTATTACCTAAATTACTTATTAAACTTATTAAACTTAGCACATAAACATGTTTAATTTGCCTATTTCATATTTAAAGGTCTCTAATTTCATATTTAAAAGTACTCTATGTAAGGGTGCCAGCCATTCTACCCATCAATTTTATCCAACAAAAAGAGAAAGCTGACTTTTATGTTGATATTATTAGAAAAATGCACTGATATTTTGATCAAAGAAATTTGATGAGTGGAATAGCACCCGACTACGAAAATATTTTCGATTTTATCTTACCTCAATGTCACAGCAAGTCTTTCAACGGGTCGTACTGGAATCCTAAACATGTTATGATGTTTAATATGATCCTGAATTCTTGCCAGCAGTTCATCAAAACTTTTTACTGACATCCCAAAATAATCAGAGAATTTTTCATTATAATTTCTAAGTTTTGAAAACAGAGTACTGAATTCTCCTTCAAGTAGCCTGTTAGCAATAACTGGATGTACGTGATATCTTCTTCGTTTTCTTTTCATTCGTAATCGCCTCAAATAGTAAAGAGTAATTAAACAATTTATAAACGGATACATCACGACTATACCCTGCTGTTCCGTACGGTGGTCAGTGGAGCACTGAATGCATAAAGCCGACTGACGGTCAGTGCGTGCGTACGCACTGACCGTCAGTCCCGACCGTCAGGAGAGCACTGAATACGGCCTAAGGGCCTATATTACCTCAGCTCAAATTCTAATTTCGCCCCCACTTCCCCGCGCCATTCGTTCGCACACTACGGCTTGCGGTCACGCGGGAACACGAGGACAAAGCGATTTTGTTAGAGTAAAACAAACTATTATCGGACGAGCATAAAGCAATAAAATTTTCAGTCATAATTTAATATTAACTTGTCATTAAATGAACATAAAATTATATGTCGCAAATTTTATTTCATTGTACATAAAGCTAATAATTCTAATATAAGTTGACCCTTCATTGTATGGAAAGCCTATACAATACGAGATCAGCTTATACTGGTATATCATCTTATAGTGAAAGGATCCGCCCATTGTTGGTTTAGTAGTAAGCTTGAGTTTTATAGTATTATAGTTTTTGTATATTTGTAATGTAACAGCCATTTACGTATGTAATTATATTGGTAGTAGGTCTATGCAAGTATCTACATATATATACCTAAAAGAAATTTTGCAAACCGATTCTAAACCACTGTATAAATTCTACTGCTACAAAAAATTAGTCAAGCGCGAATTACCATTGCACTGAAAGTTCTGTAGGTAGGTACCTACATTGGCTTGGTAGGAAGTTTACGCTTTGCATTTTACAATCTTATAAACTTATAACAATATAGTTTTCGCCTTGTATTACATACTACACATACACACACACACACACACACATGTGTGTGTGTGTGTGTATGTGCGTGTGTGTGTGCGTGCGTGTGTGTGTGTGTGTGTGTGTGTGTGTGTGTGTGTGTGTGCGTATATCAACGTCATTACAGCCTTTCACAAATCCACTGCTGAACATTGACTTCCCCCCCCAAGGAATGCCACATAGCACGGTCCTGAGCCACCAGCTTTCATCTACTTATTGCCTGTCTTACCAGGTCGTCACTCCATCTACATCTAGTGGGGGGTCGCGCTACACTACGCCTACCGGTGCGAGGCTACCACTCGAGAACCTTTTTTCTACATCGGTTTTTGGTTCTTCGATCTATATTGCCGGCCCATTGCCAATTCAGCTTACTAATCCCTTGGGCTATGTTAGTCACTCTAGTTATACTGCGGATATCCTCATTTCTAAGTTTATCACGCAGAGAAACCCTAAGTCATTTATATCTAAACAAATAAATAAAATTGAAGTGTCTGTTTGTAATGTTGAAATAACAGATTTATAATATATGCATATGAAAGTATATAAGGTATTTATAACAAAAACACGATTTTTAAAATTTTTGTCTGTCTGTCTGTTTGTTCCGGCTCTTCTCCGAAACGGCTGAACCGATATTGACCGGACTTTCACTGGCAGATCGCTGATGTTATAAGAAGTAACATAGGCTACTTTTATTTTAGAAAAAGAATTAGGGTTCCGCGCAAAATAATTAAAACCCATGAAATCTAATCGTAATAAATTACGCGCGGGCGAAGTCGCAAGGAACTGCTAGTGTATACAAATAAATAAAATTGAAGTGTCTGTATGTAATTCCAAAATTACAGCTTTTTACTAAATGCATATGAAAGAATATACGGTACTAATAACAAAAATATTTTTTTTAAGATTTTTGTCTGCCTGTCTGTCTGTTCGTCTATCTGTCTGTTTGTTCCAGCTAATCTCCGAAACGGTTGGACCGATTTTGACGGGATTTTCAGTGGCAGATAGCTGATGTCGCAAGAAGTAATTTAGGCTACTTTTATTTTAGAAACAGTATTAGGGTTCCGCTTAAAAATCACGATATATATATGTATAAATGAATCGTGATTTTTAGAACAAGGTTTGTATAAATATAAGATGGATAGATAGGTAAGTAGGATAGGTAGGGCAGCGTAGGTAGATAGGTATGAATGAAATGAAATTAATGATTTTTTATTCAATATTGATTATTGTATAATTCTTATTGAGTCATTTTTTTAATTTAACAATGGTTCGCATAAAAAAATCTATGTCCTGGGAAGAACCAGCAAGAAACCCAGCGGGACTTTTTTTAAACATATTTAAATTTACAATAAATTTATTATGTTACAATTTTTGAAAGAATTTTTTTAGAACCAGCATGGTGGCGATCACCTCATTCCCAGGGGTTCTTTTCATTTATATTATAATCACCCTTTTTGTACAATTTTTTTTTTAATAAAACATTTAAACTTGTTTACAAACATCGAGATCCGGAACAATTATTTGTAGGTCATACAAATACTTGTTCCGTGCGGGATTCGAACCCACGGACTCCAGCGCAGCAACTTTTTTTGCTAAGCCTGTGCGCCACGGAATAACGATAAAGTAAGGACGGATAAACAAGTTACAGTTTTATTTCTTTATAGTTAGATAGGTAGGTACTTACCGAACACACTTATATTTTTTATTACTAACTAAGTGCTTGGCTTCTGAAGTTCGGGTCGCGGGTTCGATTCCCATACGGAACAAATATTTTTATGGCCTACAGATAGTTGTGGAAATTTGTGTTTGTAATCGCACCGTCTCCGATTCAGGAGAAATCCTGGAGTTATAACGTTATAAAAAAAAAAAACTAAATTAATAACGTTATAAAAAATAAATAAACTAAATTTCTACATATTCGTAATCACTAACACTGTAAGTAGATACTTCATTACGTTTATCATATGTTTGTCCGTTTCTTTACGCCAACCCAGTCGCATCTTTTTTTTATTACGCTTATTTCCCATTGCGCCAACACTATAAACCTAAGTATCTATTTCAATATTTTAAATTTACGTCGTCCTGTTACGTAATGTGTGTTCTGGGCGCAAGCGACACAGCTCTCCCGTTCGAAAGCCGAAGCGGGAGTGAGCGGCGGTGTTGTGTTGGGCGGCAGGGAACAAGCTTTAAAACGACTATAGTTTAGGTAATTTCTTTTTAAGGTGAAAATAATGATAATTAAAAAAAAGTAAAAAAAGATAAGCATTGCTTTATAGTTATTTCAGTTAGTATGCAAAGTTTCATGATCTAATTTGAAGTATTTTTTGAATACCAGCGGTTTATTTTTCGGTTTGGAGGTAACTTTGGATTTTTTTTCTATCGAGAAAATTTTATGGAATCGTGTTTTCGTCTAAGATAGTACTTAACATTAATCCTCAACTTCACCATATATTTATTTCAAAATCAATGCTGCAGTATTTTCCGCATAACGGAGGATCATGCTAAGCTATTTGAGGTAGTATAGGCCCTTAACTACCGAAGGTCTAGGTCTCCGCTCCGAAAATACACGAGCCTTCTATATAAACGAACGGCTTACTAAATTGAACCGCAATGTATTTTTTAGAACTAAGGAATTCGCTCGGCGATTTGATTGGCGCTACGTATGGTCAAAAGAGGGAAAAATTTATACTCGTCGAGAACACGGAACAACGTCTTATCGCATAAAAAGTGAAGTAGATCTCGAGAGGGTTTTTGGAACAAATTCAGTTGGGGCTATCGGAAGCAATGGAAAAAAAAAATATAAAAGTAATAATTATCTGAATTTTTTAAATATTACCTTGTTCTGCTATTGCTCATTTTTATGTAAGTCGTTAATAATTGTGTTTTAATTTTTATTTAAGAACTATTTTAGGATTCTATTTCTATCAAATGAAATATACTATGCCTATACTCGTATGTGGAATAATAATATATTCTGGTTAGTTCTGGCACAAATTTCTAATATCAATGTATTGAAAAGATTCACTAGCGTTTTGTCTTTAAGTTCTGCAATACATACATACAATAATTACTATACGAGTACATTAAGGTACAAGAAAATTTACGCAATGGATAACTATTTAAAAATTTGTGGTATCCCGATAAATATTATTTATTCTATCAAATCACATAAAATTAATTTTGTCTGTACAAGAAGCAAACTAAAGTTAAATTTTGCGTCGGAACCTATTATGTCAAATAAATATGTATATCTAAAATTCGTTTATGGCTTCTAAAAGTAACGTAAAAGTTGGTCTTTTAAATGCAGGGTCCCTTGGAACGCGGCACGATGAATTTATTGTCACAATGCAACGGCATAGTGTCGATATCATGGCCATCAATGAGACGTGGCTGCGGGAGTGCGGGAGTGCGGGAGGGCGAAGGGGGGCGCGCGGCCTCGGTGGCCGGCTACCGGCTGCGGCACGCGCCGCACGCGCCGCGTCCGCCCGACGTGCGAGGCGACGGCGTTCGCGTGCCGCGTGCTGTACGCTAGTAGAACTAATGTGGATCTCGACCTCTAGCGGCGGAAAGCAACTCGTTATCGGTACCGCGTATAGACCGCGTAGCCGCCGTGGCTGAATGTCGATACATTCATAGACGCGCTTACCGTTACTATGGGGACTTTTTCATGGAGCCAAAACTTACTTCGTCTCGGTGATTTTAATATTAATATGTTAAATATGACGCATAATACCACTATAAAGCTAAATAATTTTCTTACTTGTTTCAAATTAAAACAGCATGTAACTAAGCCAACCCACTTTACGGAATATAGCGAGACTTTAATTGACGTAATATGTACCGACATAAAAGTAAACGCAGTTACTGTAGAACTTATACGTGAATTAAGTAGTCATGCTTTTATTACATATCAAATTGATATGAGTAAAAAAAAGCCGGCACCAGTAACAATAATGAGTAGGAGAATCTCTGACATAGACGAGGGAGACTTTCATAAGGACCTTACATCAATAAATTGGAAAGAAATTGAGAGTATCGCGGATGTAAATAATCAGGTAGTGCTATTTAACACAGCCATACTTACACTATTAGAAATACACGCGCCTCTTAGAAAAAAAACGATTAAACATCAGCAATTCCCGTGGCTAACCTTTAATATAAAATTGATGATGGAAAACGAGATGACGCATACATTAAAATGAGAAAAAGTAAAAACGACATACATATTAAATACTATAAAGATCTAAAAATCTGCGTCAATAAAGCAATATATAGAGAAAAACAAGCCTACTATAATTTTTATGTTAATCGTAATATAAATAATCCCATTTCAATGTGGAAACATATAAAGTCCAATGTTAAGATAAAACCAAAACACAATATCCCGATAGACTTGTTTAATGATCCAAATAAAATAAACGACTATTTTTTAAACGTGCCTGGAAATAGAAACGTCTCGTTGTCATATTTAACGTACTTTGAGTTCCACTGCTGCGTTAATGACATATTTGAGATAAAGGAGGTAAATGAACTAGAGGTACTAAAATTCATTAAAAGTTTAAAATCTAAAGCCATAGGCATTGATGGGATTTCTCTCGATATACTCCGTATGACCCTTCCGAAAACACTACCAACTATTACTGCTATGGTAAACAAATCCATTAACTCTAACACCTATCCGACATTATGGCAACATGCGTTAGTCAAACCCATACCTAAGAACTCAAATCCTTTGTCTGAAAAAGACCTTCGGCCCATCAGTATTCTCCCCTGTGTCTCTAAAATTATTGAAAAAATTGTCGCAGAACAGCTAACCATGTATTTAGATAGAAAAAAAAATTCTACCGGAAATGCAGTCGGGATTTCGTAAGAACCATAGCACCACGACGGCCCTAGCCCAACTTACTGACGATGTACTAACCGCTCAAGATGAAGGAAAAGGCACAATACTAGTATTACTAGATTTTTCTCGTGCATTTGACTGTATAAATGTTTCCCTTCTCTTATCAAAGCTTCATTACTATGGATTCAGTAGCAGCGCAGTACAATGGTTCGATAGTTATTTTAAAAACCGACTACAAACTGTAGAACTGAGCGATGACCGAGGAACATTAATACGTTCGCAATCAAAAAAAATCAAAGCCGGTGCGCCCCAGGGATCGAACCTGGCTCCAATATTGTTTTCAGTTTACAGTGCCGACTTAGTAAAAAACATTAAGCACTGTAAATTTCATTTATACGCAGATGATCTGCAAGTCTACATGTCATGTAATCCGCGTGATACTCAAGAAGTCGTTAATAAAATCAACGAAGACCTCGAAAGTATAGCCGCGTGGTGCGACTCAAACTGCCTTGTACTAAACGGAACTAAATCTAAACTACTAATTATGGGTTCTAAAAATCAAATAAAAAATATATCAGAAAGAGGGGCATGCATCCAAATTCGAGGGGAAATCGTAGAACGTGTAAATGAGATTCGCAATCTGGGCTTACTAATGGATGACAAACTACAGTTTGAGAACCACATACTAAGTACTAGCAGAAACTGCTTTTATAGACTTAAGGTTCTTTATCAAATAAGGGAGTTTTTAAATTCGGATATTCGGGTAAAATTGTGTGACACTCTTGTCCTTTCGAAATTTAATTATATGGACATTGTATATGGCCCGAGACTTTTAGCGCGGTCGCGACGTCTAGTGCAACGTGTTCAAAATGCATGTGCAAGATTTAGTTTTACAATACCGCCCCGCACGCACGTTACCCCTTACATTAACAATGCCAAAATGTTAAAAATGGAATATCGCAGAAAACTGCACATGGCAACTCTCCTATTCGGGGTATTAAAAAATAAAACACCTCCTTATCTTGCTGACAAACTCATATGGTCACGTGATGTAAAAACTTACAATACACGCACTAGAGGGAATACTCTCGTCGTGCCTCGTCACCGCACTCACGCTTTCCGAGGAAGTTTCAAATACGCCGCATTCAAGTGCTGGAACGATATACCGCCTCCTTTGCGAAATCTGAAAGCAGTACACACATTTAAAAATAAATATAGAACACAATTACTGCAAAGTCAGATTAACTTTGATCAAAGTTTATAACGCTTTGCACGATTACGTACCTCATCGTCATAGATTATTAACAACGGAGCATTAAAATCGTCCTTTTGAATGCGGCTTTTGTCTTCTTATATACTTTTGTTATCTTCAATAATTACATTTTTTTTTTCTTTTTTTTTTTACAAATTATCTGGTCATTTTATTATATAGCACTTTATAGTATTTTAATAATTTCCCTTTTGTAGTATATAGCCCTTTATAGTATTTTAATAATCTCCCCTTTTGTAGTGTTCGTATAGCCCTTCTAAGAGCGTCTGAAAGCAACATAAACGGGACGTGCTGTGTCGAAGTGGCATTCGACCTTGAACTCTACTCTCTCCCTCTCACTTAAGATAGTTACTGTTTCTTTCCCCCTTGTTGTGCATAATTCTGTCATGAGTATACGTATAGCACTGATTTCGGTAAGTCACTGGTTGGACACACTGAAAATCAGCGCCATGGAGAGAAAAAAAAAATTCATGGCATTATGCTGAGTGTGCTCCTGTTCCCAGATGACGCCTTGACACATATGAGTATTGGTATTGTATAGTTTGTAATATGTAGTATATTGTAATTTGTATTGTATAGCCAATATTATTTGTAAATTATGTGTTTCTTTTTTATGTTATCTGTGATGGCGAAATTTTGGAGAATATACCTTTCTTTCTTTCTTTCTTTCTTTAATACATCTAAATTCACAGATATGACACGAATAAGGTTTTTCTCCAGTGTGTATTTTTAGATGATTTTGCAATTTATCTTTTCTTTTACATCTAAATTCACAGATATTACACAAAAAAGGTTTTTCTCCAGTGTGTATTTTCATATGCCTTTGCAAAATACTTTTTGTAATACATTTATATTCACAGATATTACACGAAAAGGGCTTTTCACGGGTGTGAATTAAAATGTGTGTTTTCAAATAACTTTTTCGTATACATTTATATTCACAGATATGACACGAAAAAGGTTTTTCTCCGGTGTGTTTTTGAATAACATGGTATTTCAAACTATCTTTCGTAATACATCTATATTCACAGTTATTACACGAAAAAGGTTTTTCTCCAGTGTGTATTTTCATATGACTTTGCAAACTACTTTTTAAAGTACATCTAAATTCACAGATATTACACGAAAAAGGTTTTTCACCGGTGTGCATTTTCATAATATGTGTTTTCAAATTACTTTTTGCAAAACACTTATATTCACAGATATGACACGAAATAGGTTTTTCTCCGGTGTGTTTTCTAATTATATGGAATTGCAAATTACTTTTTGTAATACATTTGTATTCACAAATATTACACGAAAAAGGTTTTTCTCCGGTATGTATTTTCATATGTCTTTGCAAAGTACTTTTTTTAATGCATTTATATTCACAGATATTACACGAAAAAGGTTTTTCTCCGGTGTGTTTTTGAATAACATGGTATTTCAAACTATCTTTCGTAATACACCTATATTCACAGTTATTACACGAAAAACGTTTTTCTCCAGTGTGTATTTTCATATGATTTTGCAAACTACTTTTTAAAGTACATCTAAATTCACAGATATTACACGAAAAAGGTTTTTCACCGGTGTGCATTTTCATAATATGTGTTTTCAAATTACTTTTTGCAAAACACTTATATTCACAGATATGACACGAAATAGGTTTTTCTACAGTGTGTTTTCTAATTATATGGAATTGCAAATTACTTTTTGTAATACATTTATATTCACAGATATTACACGAAAAAGGTTTTTCTCCGGTATGTATTTTCATATGTCTTTGCAAAGTACTTTTTTTAATGCATTTATATTCACTGTATGATATGTGTTTGGCGAGAATGTCTTTTGTTGAAAATTTTTTGTTACAACCATCACATTCAAAGATGTATTTTGTTGTTGCCCCTGATGTTTTTTTCGTAAGTATATTTACACTCTTTTGTTTCATAATTTTCTTTTTTATAATCTTCGCAGAATGCTTTCCTTTTTTGTTAATTGGTTGATTACCTTTTTTCATTTTAGGGTTTGATTTAATAGTAGGGCTTTCAGAATCGAGGTTTTCTTTACGTACGTCGTTTATGTTACTATCACATTTTGATTTAATCTTTTTCTCAGACGGTTCTGAAATCATGAATCAGACATTTTATTTATTGTATGACATTGCATTTTTATTGTAAGACACCATAAACGGTTTACAATGGGCTGAGTTTATGCATTATGGAATTCTATATCAGTTAACCAAAAGAGAAATAGAGAAATTATAATATTTTACATAATTATACTAAATATTGTTGCTAGATATAAAGTATTCTAGCCAATAATATAATGAATAATGTCTCTCATATTCATTTTCGGAGGAAAACAGTTGTATTCGTTTCACAATATTTATTTTAAATTATTAATATACTACCCCGTGTAGTGGCGGGTATGGCCACTACCTCATTTTTTCTCGTGGGTGTCGTAAGAGGCGACAGAGGGAAACAGGCAGAAGATAGCCAGAAGAATCTATCTGATAACAGCAAGACAACAATAAAAAAACTGCGGTTGTCAATCCGCTCGCCAAGAGTGGCAACTATGGCAATATACCCCCATTGTTAAAGTTAAGAAGAGACGGGTCGCAATTCCCGGCGGCCCAGCTATTCCAGACTACGGTGGCGACCATGGTAACGGCGGAGCAGGGGTGCTAAGAATCTCTGGTGGAAGTTCGGTTTCCACCTAACTTTAAACAAGATAATTGTATGCCCTACAAATAATACTTTTGGTTCTAATATCGCTCATGTGTAATTAAAAAACAAAATTTTGTATGTGAAGTACATCCCCATCTACATGATACAAGAGAAATTTTTAATGTGGTTTTATTTATTACTTGATACAGGTTTTTTAAAATAAATTATTTTACCTATGTTATCATCATCTTTTTTATTATTTCTGCGTTTTTGTTTTAGTTCTACAGTCTTCGATTTCTCTTTACTTTTTGAACCAAATGCAATTATTAGTGGCAAGTCATTCTCTGAATCCGTTTGTCTATCTCCAAAAGCATCAATCTCCAATTCTTCTGCTTTTCCAGCAATCTCTAGAATGAAACATATTCTGCCGCAATTTTTTTTTATAGGATAAGGGTGACAAACGAGCACACAATCCACCTGATGGTAAGTGGTTGCTGTGGCCCATAGACATCTACATCTATTTTCGGTTACGAATCAAAATTCAGATGCGTTGTCACCCGTGAGGACTAAGATGGAATGCCTTGTTTCCAGTAAAAAGGGTCTCCGGTTCTCTACACTCACCATACGAAACACAGCTGCGTTAAGCTGCTATTTTACGCTGGTATTCTGTGAGAGCGTGGTCCTTCCCCGGCCTAGGCGACCTATTCGTGCTACAACCATAATATAGCTGCAGCATGGCTCTACCACTTATAAATATATAAAATAAAAACTGATATTTTTTTCAAGCAACTAGATCATTAGTCCATCACACCTTTTGGGACTGAACTACTCACTTTCATTACAATGCTGCATGTTTCATAAGCTAAGAGTAATAAGCCGAGTGAGGATCTGGTATGCAGTAAGTCGATGGATGCAGGTGGATAAAGCCCGTGCTTTGTGGCAATCCTTAGGGAGGCCTATGTTTAGTGGTGGACTTGTGAAGGGCTGTAATGATGATGATGATTCATTCACCTCATTTAATGAGTGTTCTGCCACAAGTTGTTTTTAGTAGGTAAATGCTTGCCAGTACAAGGATGCCTTCAGCGCCTTTTCTTCATATTTTTTGTATGAAGTGACAAACAAACTAACAGTCCACCTTATGGTATGTAGCTGATCCACCTGATGGTAGATGGGTAGTGTAGTCCATGGACTGCTTGCAGCTAACTTCAAACATGGGGTCTATGGCCAACGGTCGAATGGTTAACACGTACTTGTGAGTGCTTTTCGGTATTTGGTTAATTCTCCTTAATTTCCTTATTTTGTGGTGGTGGATTCCTCTGCTGTAAGTCTACGTTTATAAGTTATAGTTATTTCGAACATTAAACCCAATTATGGGTGACGAAACGGGGCCTCCTCGTGAGAAACCCCCTGACCCTCCCGATGAAGACATGTGCTTTGGAGTAAGTGACAATAATGATTGTGGCCGTGGTAAAAAAAGACACGCTGAGACTCGATCATTTGATCCAGTAATATATAAAAAGAATTCTGTAATTGATTTAACAGCGTCAATAAACACAATATATAAACATCCCTGCCTAGAACAAAATCTTAGAATGTATGGTCCAAACGACCAAGGCCCTTTTATTGTCCACATCTCCCGGGCTACGTCAGATCCTAGAATAGGGCTATCACTTCGTCCAATTAAAATAGGTTTATGCTTGTCTAAAAATAAAATAGAAAACATCAAAAGAGGGGGAGTCAAAAGCGTTGGCAGAAATCGCATCTCTATTGAATTCTGCTCAGCCGATGAGGCTAACAAATTTCTTAATAATCCAATGCTTGCAAAAGAAAAATTGATTGCAACTATTCCATCCTATAATGTTTCTCGAATGGGTGTCATCCGCGGTATCCCTGTGGATTGGTCAATGGAAGAACTAGCAGAAGCTGTTGAGCTTCCTCCTGGTTGTGGTAAAATCCTAAAAGCTCGCCGTCTTCAGAGAAAGACTTTTGCTGAAGGGTCAACATCCCCAATATGGGTTCCCACACAATCTATTGTTCTGACATTTGAAGGCCAGTTACTCCCCAAATATATATATGCATTTTACACATCCCTTGCTGTTGAAACTTATCAACTCCCCTCCATCCAGTGCAAACACTGTTGTCGATTTGGCCACATAGCAGATCAATGCCGTTCTAAACCACGCTGCTTCCGTTGTGCCCAAGAGCATACTGGAGCAAGTTGTTCTGTTCCTGAAAGTGAAGCCACTTGTCTGTTATGCTCCAAAAATCATTTTGCTAATAACAAAAACTGTCCGGAACACCAAAGGCAGATTGCTATCAAAGTTATGATGTCAGAACAAAATATATCCTATATAGAAGCTTCAGCCAAAATCCCATCTATCCGATTGAACAATCCTCAAAAACCGTATTCCGAAGTGGCCTCTACTCAGCTTTCACCTACTCCTACTACTTCCTTCAACCTCCCCACCATGTCACAGGCATATAGAAAAACCATCTTCAAACCTCCCCGCCCCATACCTAGAATTCCCATGGGGTATGACCAACAAGCTCATCAAAGAATAGTTGCAGACTGCCCATCCTCTACTCCAAATGGATGCGCTTTATCCAACACGCACAACCAAATATCTCCAAATGAAAATCTTGTTGAATGCCTAATTTCCCTCCTCAATAATTTAATTTTGAAAATGTCAGATTCACTACCGAACAACGTTGCAGAAAAAATCTTTAATTTAGCTAGTTTAATAGATAATATAAATGACTCAAACAAAAGACCTCCATCTCCTTCAATGGAACTGTAGAAGCTTGCAACCTAAAAAATCTGAACTCATCTTCCTAATAAATAAACATTCAATTTCTGTTGCTTCAATTTCAGAAACATGGTTCCTACCTAACTCCAAATTTCGCTTGCAAGGCTTTACTTGCCTCCGTGAAGATAGAAATGATGGTTATGGTGGTTGTTGCTTACTCATAAAAAAATCCCTACCCTTCTCTCAAATTGCACTCCCTCCTCATAGCCAACACATTAATGCCGTAGCTGCAAAAATTGCAGGAATCAACATTATTTCAATATATATCCCTCATCCAAATACCCACTTAATTCAAGAACTTTCCTCTCTCTTCTCTTTGTTACCTCCCCCTTTTATTATTACCGGTGATTTTAATACACATCATGTATCTTGGGGGTCACATTTTTGTGACATATACTCTTCAGAACTTATACAAATCTTTGAAGACATTAATGCTTGCATTATCAACAATGGTTCCCCCACTCATAGAGTATACCCAGGACTAGACCCTAGGTCTGCTGTCGACCTAACAGCTTGTTCTCCTAGTCTAGCCCCTCAGCTTTCTTGGAAAACCCTCAATCAATCATATGGAAGTGATCACTTTCCCATTCTTATTACCAAACCCAATGCGGTTATTCCTTTACCCTTTACTATGCCCCTCCTTAAATATAAGCTCCAAGACGCAGATTGGACTAATTTCACTAAATTTTTAGATACTAAATTTGCGCAAATGCAGGTTGACTTCTCAACCAACCCAATAACTTCGTACTCTCTATTGGTACAATATATAACTGAAGCAGCTGACTTATTTATCCCATCCAAAAAACCCCACAGCAAGAACCTATCCTCCCCTCCATGGTGGGATGCTGAGTGCACCACTATGATTAAAAGGAGAAAAGCTGCAGAAAAACTTTATAATCACTGTATGACAACCGATAATTTTATACAATTTCAAAAAACCTCCGCTCAAACAAGGAGACTACTTTCCAAAAAGAAAAAAAATGGATGGAAAAAATTCTGTGAATCCTTGTCCCCTAATTCACCAGTAACAATAGTTTGGAAAAATATAAAAAAATTTCGTGGCTCCCTTCTTTCTGATTCGAAGATTTCTGATAACTCTTTACCATGGTTAGAAGTCTTCTCTGATATGTTAGCTCCTCCTTTTGTCCCTAATGAATATACAATATGCCCACCCATTCCAGTCCCGTCTTACATCAACAATAATGAGATAATCTTCTCATTGTCCGAATTACAGTCTGTGCTATCTGGCTTAAAATCCTCTTCTCCAGGAGAAGATGGCATACCCTATGCGTGTTTATGTAAATTAAGCCTTAAAGGTAAATTAATTCTTCTCCAAATTCTGAACAATATCTACATATCATCTAATATTCCTCTGTCTTGGTCAAACCAAATTGTTATACCTATCCTTAAACCCGGAAAAGATCCCAAAGAAGCTTCTTCATACCGCCCAATCGCACTCTCATCTACTTTTTGCAAAATTTTAGAACATTTAATTAAAAACAGACTTGAATGGTTTCTGGAACATAATAACATCCTTGCAAAAAGTCAATTTGGTTTTCGTAAAGGTAAAAGCACTTTAGATAGTTTGAGCATCCTAACTACAGATATTAGGTTGGCCTTTTCTAAAAATGAATACTTGGTGGGTTGTTTCCTGGACATATCATCTGCCTATGACAGTGTTCTTCTTCCAGTGCTCAGGCAGAAAATGCTTCATCTGAACATCCCTGCGAAGACTGTACACTTCATTTACAATCTGTTCATGGGACGATCTATCAAAATTCGCAATAAAGGAATGTTAACCTCGCCCAGAACAATCTGGAAGGGTCTACCACAGGGCTCGGTCTTAAGCCCTATTCTTTACAATATCTACACATATGACCTTGAACATTCGATTTCATCTTTCTGTGACATATTACAATATGCAGATGATCTTGCTATCTATGTAACAGCTCCTGATATCCTAACTGCCTCCCATCATCTTAACAGAGGCTTATATTATCTTAATCAATGGCTTACTGACCATGGCCTCTCTCTTTCAGCTTCTAAAAGCAAAACAATAACCTTTAGTAGAAAACGTGTTTTCCCTACTATTGATATCTCATATAATGGTGAATCTATTCCAGTTGTTAACAAAGTAAATTTTTTAGGTATTTTCTTAGATTGTCATATGACTGGTAATGCTCACTTTAATTACATCTGTGACAAATGTGAGAAAGGTGTTAATATTCTTAGATCCCTTTCAGGCGTATGGTGGGGTTCTCACCCCATGTGTCAAAAAATCCTATACAATGCCATCATCCGCACTCACTTCGACTATGGCTCTTTTCTTTTGGAGCCCTGCAACAAATCGGCCCTTAATAGACTTGATGTTATCCAAGCAAGATGTTTACGTATTATCACAGGCGCAATGAAATCAACTCCTAAAAATGCTTTACAAGTAGAATGTGCTGATCCCCCTCTCTCTTTACGAAGACAGTTTCTAGCTGATAGATTTCTCTCAAAAACTCTACAACTATCATCTCACCCCTTACATCGTAAACTAGAATCCTTGCTACTATTAGCTGTAAACAACTCCTACTGGTTTAATAAAAGCTGGCCCCCTATTCTTAAATCTCTAAATAGATTAAAAAATATTGGTTATCCTTGTGTAACATCCCTAATTCTACCCTATTTTGAAACCAGCTATGAAGCTATATTAATAAACCCTAAAATCACTCTGAATTTAAACATTAATAAAAATTCCCCCACTGCAAACAGAACTTTCTACAACCTTGTGGCAAAAAAATGGTCTGATTGGCTATATATTTTTACTGATGCTTCCAAATTGTCTCCATTCAAATGTGTCGGTTCCGCAGTCTGGATCCCCAAATACAAAATTGTCCTTAATTATAGATGTCCTCCTCAAGCTTCTGTTTTTACTGGGGAAGCTGTAGCCATATATGAGGCTATTTCCTATATTCTTTCCCATAAAATTCCTAAGTCAGTTATATTTACTGATTCAAAAAGCTGCCTAATGTCATTACAGAGCAATATATTTAAAATGAATTCCATCTCCCCATTAATACTGAAAATTAAGGAACTCATACTAAATTGTAATAAGAGTGGGCTTGATGTGGAGATTGTGTGGATTCCTAGTCATTGTGGTATAGAAGGAAATGAACAGGCTGACTCTTGGGCCAAAGGAGCTGTTGATACTGGCTGTCCTTCTCATTTAATGATTTACTCTCATGATCTAATGTCATTAGCTCAAATTGAATTAAAGAACTCTTGGAACAGAGAATGGAGCACATCCAGACATATTAAAGGTTGTCACTTTGGTAAAATTCAACCCCAAATCCCTCCAAAACCTTGGTTCTTTAAATTTAGCTTTTTGAACAAACAAATCACATCTACAATCTGCCGTTTAAGGCTTGGGCATGCCTGCACTCCTGTATTTCTAGCTAAAATTAGAATCAAAGATCATTCCCTCTGTGAATGTGGACTGGATGAAGGTACCCCAGACCACATTTTCTTTAATTGCCAAAATCACCCAATTTCTTTATATGACATTCTTCCCAACACAATCCCTCGACCAATGAATATCAATTCCCTCTTAACTATCCCCAATTCCATATATGTCAATATGATCTCAAAATATATTCAAATGTATAATATTAAACTCTAATTATCGTGTACTAAATTTAGCTTAAACTAATTCTCTATTCCCTGCCCAGGCTAATTCTCTCCTATAACTAGATGTTTGCTCTATATTGTGTGGTCCATAATTTATGTATTTAGATGCTTTGTTTTTATCCATATTTTCACCTAATAACCGCTAACTCCTTTTCCACCGAAAAGCCTAAAGACAAGGTGCGACAGACCAAGGACCGGACATTGGCAGAATTATTGTGACATAATCACAATACCAAGGGCCAAATAGACCAAATAATAATAATAATAATAACTTCAAACATAAAAGACTACAATGTGCAGTCATCTCTGACGACTGAGATCAAATATACCACACTCTATACCCTTCAGACTGGAATACCCACTGCTATTCAAGTAAGTAAGTCCAACTTCGACCGAGAGGTCAATCGACGGATTCTACTCGGCTGGGCAGCGTTCGGGAAACTACGACACATTTTCTCGTCAGACATTCCTCAAAACCTTAAAACGAATTTATACAACCATTGCGTGTTGCCAGTGATGACTTACGGATCTGAGACGTGGTCCTTCACTGCTGGCCGGATGAGGAAGCTCAAGCTCGCTCAGCGAGCTATGGAGAGGGCTATGGAGAGGGCTATGCTCGGAGTTTTTCTGCGTGATAAACTTAGAAATGAGGATATCCGCAGTAGAACCAGAATGATCGACATACCCCAACGGATTAGTAAGCTGAAGTGGCAGTGGGCCGGCCATATAGCTCGAAGAACTGACAACCGATGGGGAAGAAAGGTTCTTGAGTGGCAGCCTCGTACCGGTAGGCGAAGTGTAGGGCGACCCCCCACGAGATGGAGTGATGACCTGGTAAGACATGCAGGAAGTCGATGGATGCAGGTGGCTCAGGACCGTGCTTTGTGGCATTTCTTGGGGGAGGCCTATGTTCAGCAGTGGACTTATGAAAGGCTGTAATGATGATGATGATACCCTTCAGACTGGAATATGCACTGCTATTCAACGGCAGAAATTAGGTGAGAGGAGGAGGGAGGAGTCCATGTGGGTAAGTAAACCTAGATCGGCTCATAGGCAAAAATGGAGTCCCGCCACCTAGTAATGACAATAAGAAATTGGCAAAGATAGGTGGTTGCTTATTAGTTGTAAATATGTATATCATTATATCCTATGAAATTAATATTTCTTTGTGACATACATACTGGCAGCATTTATAAACGGTCAAAATATTTTTTAAGTATATTAATACATTAGTAAAAAAAATGTCTAAAGAAGCTCGTTATGACGTCCATACAGGCTTATCTTTAAAATAATTATATGATTTGTAATTTTCTTTCTCCATAAAAGTGATTTTAACATGCACTTGAAATTTAGGCAAAGGCAAATCAGTACATTGCACATGAAGCCCTCTTTATTTTGTTTGGGCTACAGTAACCTCTAGACATTAAACTAACTTTAGCTTATTTTAATAATATCAAAAAAGGGGTATATAAAGGGGCTTACCTATTTCATAATTCTCATTTTCTTCAAATTTGGAATTCCCATTTTCGAAATTCTCTTCCTCAATTTTAACAGATTCAAGAATAAAAATTTCATCCTTACAATCAATTTCTGTATCACATTCTACTGGCCTGATATCTACATGGCAAATTGGTGAGAATTGAATCTTATCTTTAGCCTCTTGCGGTTTTGGTATTGACTGAAACCATTATTTTAAATAAGTGAAAAAGCCAGTGTTGTGGTGGCGTGGGATAATCCATACTATCCCGCAGATGTCGTAATAAGGGTCAGGGAAACTGAAACAGAAGATGACCAGCAGCATCTTCAGTCAGCTATATGTTTTTTTTTATATAGGAGAGGGGGTAAACGAGCATGCGGCTCACCTGATGATAAGTGACTACCGCCGCCCATGAACAACTGCAACACAAGGGGAATTGCAGACGCGTTGCCGGCCTTTTAAAAAGGAGTAGGCTATTTTCTTAAAGGTCCCTAAGTCGTATCGGTCTGGAAAAATTGCTGGTGGTAATCGATTCCACAAGGAAGTTGTGGGAGGGAGAAAACTTCTTTTAAATCGCACAGTAGTGGACTGCCAATCATCCAGATGGTATGGATGGTACATACATTAAATTCTTGTAAATATATTGAGAGACCAAAGTTAATATATTCATTTCTTTTAACTATAAATGTTATATTAAATTCAAGACTTATTAGTTTAAATAATGATCCATATAAATAGTTAGTATTGTTTATAGATGAAAGAAAAGGCAGCTTTTTCACTCTACTACCTTTAAATCTCCCTAAGCGATGTTCATTTATTGGAACAAGCACAACTTTCTTAACTTTCTGTTTTTTGTGCATGTAAGGTAGTGAGACTAACTGTCCACAGTGATCAGAACTTAAATTGTGAATAATTAATTTATGTAAGGGCTCAACATAAGTAAAAATATTATCTATACAAGTTGCACTATGCCCTGCAATACGTTTTGGCTCAAAAAACAAATTAACAAGGTTGTAATGATTTGAGCAATTATTTAAACTTAATACTTATGGAAGAAGCTTCAAGGAGATTAATATTAAAGTCTCCACATATGACAACAGATTTGTTCTGGTTATTAAGTTTAAGCAAAACTTCCTCCATTATATTTTCAAAACAATCAATCGTCGTACATAGAATGGCGATCTGTAAACACTGACAACAATGAAGTGTTTGAACTCAACACATGCCATTTCTACAGTTCACTAACAGAGGCTCACAATATCCTTACATTCTTTACTTATTAATAATTTATTAGCCAATATTAAGGAGCCACCATGTAATTTTTTTTCTCTGTTAAAGCAACTGACCACCTGGTGTTTACTGAAATTAAACATATTATAGTTATAATATTTTAACCAATATTCAGTTATACAGAAAATATGTATGTTGTTACTATTCAAAAACAATTCAATTTCTAATTCTTTGCCTAACATGCCTTGCATATTTTGATGCACCAGGTGTATACAATTTTTATGATTGTGTTTAAGAGAAATTATACAATTAACTATTTGTGGGCTACATTCTGGGAGTGTCAAGGTAGAGTAGTGATTGTCAAGGTGTCTGCCAAGTGATTATTAAGGCAAATACTTCATTATAATGGGAATGACCTATCAAGTCGTGGACTTTTATTATAAGAAGTATAATACTGTGGACCGTGTAGTGGCGATGTAAAAACATCCACTACTCTATATCCACGGAATGGGTGTCGTAAGAGGCGACAAAGGGAAACAGAAACAGGAGTTGGGCAGCAGCAGCATCTTCCTGATAACAACTCTGACTATTATAAACTACAGTTGCCCACTTGCCGAGCTGGAAAATTTGGCAAAATCCCTCCTATCAAGCAATCTATGAGGAAGGCCTATGTTCAGCAGTAGACTTTTATAGGTTTTAATGAATGGAATGGATAATACCATGGACCCTCCTGATAGCAACTGCTCCAGAACTGCATTTGACTCAATAGCCTGTTGTTGTAATCTTCTGCAACGAATGAGTCTTGCATGACAGATGAAACAGACAGTTATGGGCCCCTCATCCTCATCCACCTGAAAATATGAAAGTTCGTCATAAATATGGAAAAGTACTCAAATATACAAGTTTGTAATAAAATCTATTAGCTACCACAATTCTCTTCATCAACATAATTTTTTTATAACATTGAAGTGACAAATAAACTTACAATCCACCTGATGGCTGCAGCCCATGGGCACCTGCAACACACTTCAAGCAAAGGCTACAGATGTGATGCTACCTTTGAGGACTAAGATGTAATGCTTCACAGCCTGTTGTTATATTGGCTCTCAATGTCCTTCAGACTGGGACACATACTGCTGCTTGGTGGCAGAAGTAGATAAGAGGATGATAACTACCCAGACAGACTTCTAGGCAGAAAAGATCCTACCACCTAGTGGATCATCATCACTGCACATCCATTGACTTCCTAACATACCAGATTGTCAGTATCTAGTAGGGGCCTCTCTACAATTTGCTTACCAATGAGGCTACCACTCAAGAATTATGTTTCCCGATCTGTTGATAGTTCTGTATGCTATAAGGACACAAATTCCTAATTGTTAATATTGTGAATGTTATGAGTGTCAAGTAAGTAGGAGCCTCCCTGACTCTTGACCCTGTGTCTCTTATAGTACGCAGTACATATTACTTTAATGATAATACTGATTTTAGTGCGACCCAGGATTCCAGGCTAGTTGTTGTTTTTCAGGTTCTGATTGTATTTGTCACTATATTTAACGCTGCACCTTAGCTTAGCCTCGATCTATCGCATTTTATATCAAGCAAGTTATAATTAGTCTTGTGTAGTTCGCGAACGCTGAATGAATAGAAAACATGTCTTAGCACTGTACTAAGAGAAACGTTTCCGAACGCTGATTGTTAATCAGTCTAACAGCTCTTTTTATACACCTAAATTCGCAATACAGCAGACCGCGCGTGCGATAGAGAGAGTCGGTGAGTTGAGTATATCATTGGGACAAGAGCCGATGAATGACTATAATCATACCATTGATCAAATCTGTTAAAATGAGATGTTATAGAAAGATACATGTTAGGTATATCAATGCAATAACATCTAATTTAGCTTATCTGAATAGATGCTAGACTCTCTGTGTTGGCATTTTATTAATAAATAGATACAAACGTTTGCTAGACTTCGTTTTGGCACTTGTGATCGCGTAAATATGTAATAGTTATGTTATAACAGAGCCGTGGTAGCTCAGATGGTTAGCGCTCGCTGTAAGCTTCACAGTACTCTAGCAACCTGGGTTCAATCCCCGCCGGCACCAATGAAATTGTTAATTGCAATTTTAAGTGCTGATTTACCACATGCTCGGCGGTGAAGGAAAACTTTGTGAGGAAACCTGCATGTCTGAGAAATAACAAAAACATTTATTTTAAAAAAAAATTCAAAGACATGTGAAGTTCGCCAACACGCATGAGGGCAGTGCGGCGACATTTCCTTGCCCTAAAACCCTCTCAGAAATGAGAGGAGGCCTGTGCCCAGCAGTAGGACATAAATAGGCTGCAACTCTACTTTTACTTTTATGTTGTAACAATTCTTGAGGAGTATTTTTTGTTTTTTATTATTGTTTTAATAGTAATTGCATCCTTGAATGCTTTTTATTTTCACATGTTATGGATATGGGATTTTATTTCATTAACATTAATAATTTTTTCAACAGTAATTTGAATTAGACTTCCATTTTGACCAAGAAATTATCAAGTGTGTATGAGTGATAATACAACATTACGATTCGAGCAAATATCGAACAACTGAGACTGAGTCTCACTGACTGAGATAGCTATTCCATACAAATTTTACGGATAGATACAGTTTAAACTTTAAACTGCTTAGAGGTACTGATGAACGAATAGAATGAACTAGTTCACTGTCCGTAACGAACTAGTACGGAGTGATCTTTAAAATGACCGAGCAGGCACAAGACTAGTTATAATGTATTTCTCCAGCGACTTGTTATTAGTTTGTGCTCCAGCAATAACAACAAATTACCGACCAATACTTCAATTTGCAATATTTAGAAATATTAACAAACTTACAAAAATGTTCGTCAACGTTTTATATACATTTCGGAGGGCAGTCTCCTTTAGTATAAACATGCGTACATTAACGCTTAAACAAATTCTACAAATTTCATTAAAGGCCATTTGTTTCTAGCTTTAATATATTGGTATCACAACACATATAACCCTAAAGGGGGGATTGGTATTCTCCTCTTCTTCTTTTTAGAATTTATGGCACTTTCTCTTAATAGAATATTATGGCTTCTCTTGAAACTTTTGATATTGGTCACGGACACGGAATATAAAAACAAATAGAATTCTAATGAATTCTGCCTAAAAATTATCATTTATCAATATAATATTATTATATTAGGCTTGGGCAAAAAATATCGATATATATCGTCGTATTTTTAACCGCGATATATCGATATTAATTTAGGAGTGGTGAATGCGTATCAATTTCGATATATTTTAAAATGTTATATTAATGTGCAAAACATGAAACAACAAAAGGAGCTACAAAAACATTCATGTGTGGTTGTCGTATTTTTATCGTCCAACCTTCAGTAATATTAAATTTTGGGCCCTATACTACAATCATTAAATTAATGATGCCAATAAATCGATGTTTATCACGCGATATATATCGATACTGTTTAAAGATGTACCTATATATTTTTCCCTTGCCATCCTTACAATATATCGAAATATCGATATTTGATGAGACAATATCGATATTTATTGTAGAATATCGAGTTTGTATCAATTTCGATATATTTTAACCATTCGGGCACGTCATTAACCACCACCAACTTTGTCAAACTTACGATCATGCCCGGTTTCGGTTTATACCACTAATTTAGAAGTATATGGACTGGGCATACCTACAGAATATGGAGTATAGAGTAGGAGGAGGACCATCTATGTATGTGATGCTGCAGTAGCATAGGATAAATAAAAAAAGCGCCAAAAGTAATAAGAATAAGATGGAGAAATAAACAAGGACCGACCAATCCGCTTGGTTTTGTACTACGTAAATAGTTGAGATTTTGTATACTGGCATTTTACTAACTACTCTAGTCATGATAGTTTTTAAATATTAGAATTCAGCTGACTTCACTCCGTTCACAAGCTATCTTCATATCGTAGTTTTTCAGACGCCAGCGCTATTGTGGTAGGTTTTGGAACCTCTATTTTCAGTAAACAGTAGAACACTTTTTCAACATTCGCCCCTTATAAGATGGTTCTCCTTCTACTCTACACTCCATACTACACAATTATACTCTATTCCAATTACGAAGTCCCATTTGACAGATGTCAATAATCAAGTACTAGTAAAGTACCGCTATAGTCGATACTTGACGATATTGATCTTCGATTACTATAACAAACAAATTAAAATCGTATTGACAGAAAAAGGATTAGCATCAAATTAAAATTTATAAAACTGTTTTTTAATTTTAATTAGATAATATTACATGATATTTTTATCAAGATGGAACATATTCATCATCACTAGCGGAAATCGATATTTCATGGTCGACATCGTCGTCATCACCCTCATCATCGTCTGTAGAATCCCCTGTATTTTTATAATTTAGTTATCTATGACGGCATCGGTATGTATGTCTCTGTCCCAATCAGCGAAAATCAAATTTTTTGTTCGTAAAACCACACTTTCCCAATTCGCGGCAGTAACACTATCACAAGCTTCTTGCAACAATGACAGCATTTTGTTTGCAGTAAACGGTGGGCTGGTATTTTAACGAGCCGCATAACATAAAATAAAGGTTTGCGTGTTAATATAGCAACAGATAAAATGTTAAAATAGGTAAAAATAAATTATAAAAAAGATTTGTTTAAATTCTTCCCTTTAATTTGCGCCCAAATCAATTCTCTGGCATTGTATTGACAATGGTAGGGTGGAAGGCGCATAACATTGTGTCCGTCTTCCTTAGCCTTTTCGTCCAATACGTATTTTGGTCTAGCTGGCTTATTTATAGCAACCAAATGCAGCAGCTCAACTTTTAACATGGACATGTCAGCAACAATATTATTGTCATTCAGCCATTTCACAATATCAGCTTTTTTGCTGCTAGAAGTTGGAGGCTTACTTATTTGTACTTAATGATACGGTGCATTATCCATAATGATCGTCGATGACTCATTCAAGTTGGTCAATAAGGTACAAAACCATTTCCTTTTAACAAAATTCATCTCTTCGTGGTATTCCACAGTTTTCTTAGATTTAAACGCCAAGAGGCAGTTCGGAACAAATCCCTTCATGGAATCCGCATGATAAATAGCTAAGCGTTCGCCTTTGCCACTAGGTACTTTTGTGGAGGAGTGAGGAGTGTCGTCTGTCCATATCTTGCCAACTGTATGATTAGCGTTTAGCCACGTCTCATCTAGAAATATAACATTATTCCAAACGGCAATGGACTTTGCTGATCTTAGAAAATTAAATCTGGCTAAAGTTATATCTCTACGTTCCATCAAAATCCGACTTTTATCACATTTTATATAAGAAAAGCCAACATTTTTAAAACCCTCCAGAAAGAAGTTCTACTGCCGTGAAACAGTCCAGATTCTCGTAAAGTATTTGACAATTTATCGAGAGTCGTCGTCGTCGCTAAGACAGCTCCAAGGCTCGGTCAGGCGGTAGGTAGGTGTAGGTGCATGTAAGTGGTGTGTAGTAGTGTTTATATATGTGACCTGACCTAACTGAGGTGATCGGGCAGCGGCCTGGTCCGATGCTGCCCCACAATGTGGTATCACTCCAGCGCACGTCACCAATTGACAACTTCTTTCTTCATTTCACTATTTCAGTCTATCAACTCCATTGTACATTTAATTAACTTCAAAGTTATTTTTTTAACACGTGACATCCGACACAAATAACGAACAGACGCTCAAAGTTCAATATTCAAGGTTCCGGGTTCACGTAGCACAAATTTACAAACACGGGATCGAACGCGGCCTCTTCTCGAGTCTCAAAGTTCAGCGTTCCCAAACAACAAACTAAATTCCTTCGTACGATATTAAATACTACGCCGCAATAAGAATTCAAAATCAGCCTAGCTGACACGCAAACTAACTACAGAGTCAACACACAAAAGGCTCTTAACACGACGGTACAATTAAACAATGACTTCCAAAAACAATTAACCGGGCTACGCCCACGAAATGGAATGCGAGCATCAAATTCCAGACCGTATGTCCACTCGGCGTGCGCGCAAGGTTCCACGTCACACAAGCAAGTTAAATATTGCAAAATGCACTTCAAAATGCAATCACTATACAAATTGACGTAATTACTTATAAGCGAAATTACTTTAATCACTCAAATTCAATACTAGCCTCTTGTCACGAAACGTACAACGAGGCGGTCTACACGAAACCAAAATTCAATAGAAAATTAAAAGCGCACAAAGACTCAAATTCTAGACCACAAAACCAAAAAACAGGTAGCGCGAAATCGATGCAGCGGTCACCAAAATACGCTAATCGACAGCGCCGCTGCTGTCAAGCTACTGACTTCGCACTCGCGTCCTGCGCCCGCGCCCTCTGCCGAGCGACCCACACGGGAGTGGGGCGACGGTGACCTTTACAAAGTCAGCGGGAGGGCACGAGTGTTGAATGCAAATTTCACTTTTACAATTTTACCATCAGACAAAGTAACTGCATTTTTAGAACATCTCAATTCCATAAACTCTAAAATTCAATTTACTGTGGAGTTAGAGGCAAATAATTCTTTAGCTTTCCTAGATGTGTTAGTCATTCGAAATCCTAATAACACCATAGATCACACTGTGTATAGAAAAAAGACCCATACAAACCGATATTTAAACGGTGAATCCCACCATCATCCTTCACAGTTAGCTACCGTGGGCAAATATTTGTTACAGAGAGCACGAGAGATGGATCTGTGACAGCAAACACCTGGCCGCTGAGCTTCAGCACGTCAAGCAGGTTCTGCACGACAACAAGCTTCAGGTCCCGCGCCTACGTCACAATGACCGAGTGAAGCCGGCCACAGTCGAGCGTGTGCCTGCTGTACTACCATATGTTAGAGGTGTCACAGACAAGATTGGCTACATCTTGAAGCGAGCTTCTATTAGAACATTCTTCAAGCCGCCGAAGAAGATTAGTCAATTCTTACCATCCGTCAAGTGCAATATTCCTCTACAAGATGCAGGAGTGTACAAGCTTAATTGTGAATGTGGTCTCTCATATATAGGGCAAACAAAACGATCAATAAAAACCGACGTAAAAGAACACATAGCTGACGTGAAGCACCAACGTTCCGGGAAGTCTGCAGTTTGTGATCATATCCTAGACGGCCCCCGCCATTACATTAGATTTGATAAACCACAAATTCTCGCGAAAGAACATCGATTCCTGCCAAGGATGATACGTGAGGCTATTGAAATTAAAAAACATCCTAATTTCAATAAAGAGGGAGGTTGGGTACTACCACCTGCTTGGGATCCTGTAATTAATAAAATTAAAACTAAACCCAAGCATACCACTGCAAGACTTCAAGATACAGTAAGTTCATTCTGCGTAGATCGGACCAAAATTAATAATTAAAAAATCTGAAGGTACTCGGGATTAACTCTGACATCGGAACGTCAATTACCTCAGTCCCCCGTGACCATGGGTGCTAGAAAGCACCCGAAACGTCGGGAATTAATAAAAATAAGCAAAATAAGTTAATTAAACGCGATAAAATCCGTAAAAGTAGTTTTATTCCTTATATGATCACTTTGCCGTGTAGTGGCGGTTAAGAATATCCACTACCCCATATCTTCCCGTGGGTGTCGTAAAAGGCGACAAAGGGAAACAGGCAGGAGATGGGCAGCAGCATCTTCCTGGTAACGGCAAAAATACAATAAAAAACTGCGGTTGCCAACCCGCTCGCCAAGCGTGGCAACTATGGCATAATACCCCCCATGATGAAAGTTACGAAGAGACGGCCCCCAGTCCCCGGCGACCCCGCTATTCCTGGCTACGGTGGCGACAATGGTAACAGCGGGGCAGGGGGTGCTAAGAATCTCCGGTGGAGGTTCGATTACCACCTACGACGACTCGACCTGGCAACATACAACGCACGCACCCTGAGGACTGACGAGAAGATTGTGGAGCTGGAAGAAGAGATAGACAAGTAATGCTGGCATATTATAGGATTATCCGAAGTCCGAAGAAAGGGGGAGGACACGGTAATCCTCGAATCCGGCAACTTGCTCTATTACCGGGGCGACCATCTGTTAGTTCTGCAGCATATGCTGTAAAAAAGATTAGAAGTCTAACCAGTGTTGAAACAGCTAGACTAGTTTACTTCAGCTACTT